TTATTTATATTTTTTCGCTTATTTTATTTATTTATTTTTTATTTATTTATTTTTTTTTTTGCTTATTTTATTCATTTTTTTTTTATTTATTTATTTTTTTTTAATTAATTTTTTTTTTTTAATTAATTTTTTTTTCAATTTATTTTAGATCTGAAGGGGATGTTTATACTATTACTGCTTACTTTGTCATTTCACTAAAAGTTCATTTAGCCGACATCACATAGGATTAGGGCTAGCAATTTGATTAGTTCTAGGTAATATTATCATTTGGCGTAATGTCGACTAATTGAACTGTTGGTAAAATGATTGTCAGCGAAATAATACAAATCTGTTTACGCCAATTTGATTCAGTAGAGCTAACTTAAAGAAGAAATTGATTAAAAGGGAGACGATAAATTAAATTAGTTGTGATTCTGAACAAGACGTGTTGAAATTTTAAATTAGCTTTGAATTCATAAGAATAATCAATGTAATCAAATTCTTAAAAAATGCAAAATCTTTTTGCCTACCTGAACTATTTTTACTGGTCCAAAAAAAATCATAAATCGGGACAACTAAGAAAGTATAGCATCCTAATAAGATATGAACTATTCTTCAATCATATCAATTAAGATCGATACGAATCTTTTAAGACAAATCAATTAAACAGGTCGAATCAATGCTTTTGTGTGAAATATTGATTAAAAAAAAAAAAAAATTAAAATAAGTAAATAAATTGTATTTATAAAAACTGTAAATAAAGAATAATAAAGATAAAAAAATTTTATCAGGTTAATTTAAAATCCTGTTTCTTCATAATAATGTCGTAAGCTACTATTATATAAAAAATTATTTTTCTTTGAACATTTTTTATTCAAAATCATATACGCTTGCAAAATTTGTCATTGTAATAGAGAAAAAAAAAGACAGTCTTTTTAGCTAGAAATTTGCGTAATAATCAAAGAAAACTGATATGTGAACATCATCTAAAAAATCTAACACTTACTCAGAAAGAACTCACGGAGTAGGCAAAAAATGAGTTCAAGTTAGTAAAAGCTCTAGGCCAAAGTATAATCTCTGACATCTTAAAAAGGAAGAATGAATTTAGTGAAATGTTTTCAAATGATCTTGAAATTAAGAGACATCGTATTATTATATTTTCCAAGCTAGACATAGCCTTGGCAAACTGGGTATTACAATATGAATATAGGGCTATATATTTAAATGAAGATATGATTAAGGCTAAAGAAAAAAGATTAGCAGATCTGATAGAAATACCTGAAAATAATCAACCTGAATTTTCAAATAGGTGGTTGCAGGCTTTTCAAGAAAGGCATAATTTTCGTTACTTTAAGTTGCATAGTGAGAGTGATTCCACTGACATTGTTGCTATAAACTTAAACCTTTCTAAAATTATTAATACTACTAACCAGTATTCTCTCTGTGATGTTTACAATATGAATAAGATAGGCTTGTTTTTTGCTATAGCTCCTGACCGTACAATTGCGACTCGCCAGATTGAAGGTAGTTATATAAATCGAAAATTGATTAATCGATTAGTTGATTAATCGATTAAATCAATTAATCAACTAACTGATTAATTAATTAACAAATTAATTAATTTTTACCCAATTCGTATAACACGATAAATCAATTAATCAATTAATCGATTAATCAATTCATCGATTAGTTAATAATAATCGATTTTTAATCGATTTTTTTTTTTTAAAAAAAAAGAATCAACCAACTAATCGATTATATTTTTGCTTTGATTCATGATACTAATTAAAGGGTCAAAAAAAGATTGTTCAAGAATTACGATCATATTTTTCATTATTGAATATTCCAAAAGACCTAAATGTTTCAAAAAAAAAACAGATGAAGAACTTGAATTCTATTACTATAATAATAAAAAGCATAGATGACCACCATATTTTTTCAAGAATAGATTGAAAAATTGGATGAAGAAATGAGTAAATCAAATCGTCACATTTTACTTATCCTTGATAGTACCCCCTCACATATTACTGATGCCCTCAACTTGACCAATATAAAGATACTCATGTTACCCTATATGCAACATCAAAAATCTAACCCATGGACACCAGTATTATTGTATTATTCAAACTTCATTATCGTTACCTACAACTTCAACATGCAATTGATCGTGACGAAACCAGGAAGAAAGATATATATAAAGTCAATCAATTGCAGGTAGTAATATGATGGGAAGTGGTTAGTTGGATTCATTTTTTTAAAAAAATTTTTTTTTTTTTTTTAAGAATCAGATTAAAAAAAGTGTACAAATAAATTTTTACTAACTTGTATTACTAATTGCAGGTTATGAAATAGAGATGTTGGTTCCGCATGAAAGTCGTATCTCCTCGTGATGAAAGCAGAGTACCTGTTGCCCCCACTATTGTTGAAAGTATTGATGATGTAGAAGAAAACCTACCCTTTGATCCAAATGATGAACTAACTCTTGATCTAAATGATGAACTAACAATCAAGGAACTTTAGTAGCAAATAGATGTATTACATGTTCGGAATCTAATATCAATTGAAGATTTACTAAACCTGGAAGAAGAACAAGAAGCATATCACTAGTTTACTAATGAAGATCTGATCCAAGCTGCGATAGAAGTGGAACAGGTAGAAGAGGAATTCGTAATGCCACCCCTAACTGGAGAAGAGCAATTGAATATTTTGCGTAGTGCCTTGAGAATCGTAGATGAAAGAATTGATAATGGTGGTATTATAATAAAATCCTTACGCAAGCTACAGTCCTGTATTCGAGAAAAGGTTTGGGAAAAAAAAGATAAGAAGCAAGTCCAACATAGATTGGATCAATACTTTACTTGATCGAAAGATGGTTTTAGTTTTTCTTTCCTTTTACTAACATACTTAAAAAAAAAAAATTGTGCAATAAGATTGACTAAGATCGACTAAGTTCAATAAAAAAAAAAAAAAAAAATTGTACATATTAGCAATGTAAAGGATGAAAATAAAAAGTAATAAATAATATGTAAATGAACGTCATACATCTGTGAGATCCGTGCACTTGCAATTTATGATTTTATTGGCTGCAGATCATGTAACTATGCCCGACAAATCGGAAATATATATATTTGGATCATCGGATATCAGGTATGGCAGGTTATCAGTTATGACTTAAGAAACAGACCTGGTAGATCGATTTTTAACCAATTATGATAGGATATCAGTTTTGACAGAATTGGTTTGGGGAGGGCCGACAGTAATTTCTGTTACAGATTTTTATATAGTTAGCCAATCGTTTTTCAACAATATCTTGCCATCTACTAGCCCGATTTGGATGATCTAATCACCATTAGATGCGTCTTGACAAGCTCTACAACTTTCAATTAGTAGCTATCTATCATTAATTTAGTAAAAAAAGTTTTAGATGAAGCACACTATATTTCACCTATTCTCTAGTTGATAGACAAATTATCAATTAAATATATACAATTTGAAAAAAATGTATGCATTTCTTTATAATTAAAATTATTAGTAATAGTGCTCAAGTTTGGTATGTGCTATGTAGATTCAAAGTTAATAGTTCATTTAATTGGCAAATCACGAGTCATCTGAATAAATATTTTTTTTTTTATATATAAATTTTACTATAAGCTCAAATGTGGAGCACGC